CCCGCCTGCTTCCGCATGTTCCCGCGGCGTGACCCTACCCACGTGGAATTGGGATCGTTGCGAACCGGCCCATCCGGCTGCCAGCAGAGTTCTACCCGAAGGAGATGAGACTAAGCCACTAAGGCAGGTGCCCGCTTTGAGATCAGTTAATTCCCCCCTGCTAGGAAACTAAGTGTACTTGGGCGGTTCGCCGTCCTTGAGCACGTGCGATATCCCAATGCTCCCCCAGCCCCGCGGACGGGCGTTTCTGCGGCGTCGTGCGGCGCCGTCGACCACCCGCGCTGCGCGTACTTTCTCAGCAGCTTTCGGAGTGCTTCCCCGCCTCCCAGCGCACATCCCTTTTCCGCCGCCGCCGGCGACGCCTTTTATAGACCTCCCGGAATCGCGGCCAAAACCGGCGACTCGATTCTATCGCGTCTACCTGTGGGCGAGGGGCTGGCAGCTCTCACGACATCGCCCCACGCGACCGCTTCCTCGGAATGGACGGCACAGACAACAAGTGCGCTTAAAGCCCCGGTGGAGTTTTGTGGCTGAGGACCTACACTGACAAAATATAGTGGTAATTGTTGATAAGGTAATTGATATAATTCAAGGGTTGACGGTAACACATTTTGTCCACAAGAATGCGAATTTTGTGGCTCTACCAGTATATCTCGAGTTGTTTGTACTTTCGTCGACTTAGATATGTAATGGTACTGATGAATTCACACCTTAAATCTATTTAATTGTAACACGTCCGGGCATTTTCGACTCGAATACTAGAGGAAAACATCCGTCGTAATATATGAAATGACGATTATTAATTGCAATAATGGTGAGAATAATGAAATGAATGAAAGTAAGATCTTGTTTACTCGTGAAAAAGCAGCCTCAAATATGCATCGTTCAACCACACATTCCTGATGGAGCGATCAAGATTGGAACCTCAGATACCCATTTCCGCCAGGCGAACGCGCTATTTGCTGCCCAACGTAGCCCAAAAAATCAACTCCCTTTTACCGCGAGCATGTAAAATGAGTAAATTCCCCCTGCTGTAAAAGCAAGTACGGTTCGCCGTCCTTGAGTTCGCATGCCATCACAACGCTCCCCCACGCCCCGACCTGTCGCAGGGGTCGGAGGATACCTGTTTCGGGTAGCGCACCCACCTGAGTCGATGGCGATGGCGGCCGCGGGGGCGACCAGCGCCAACAGGGCCGCGACCGACACGCACAGCGCCGCCGCCGCCGCCGTTGCCGCCGTCGCCGTCCTCGGGGTGTGCATGCTGCCGCGGCCGTCCGCTCGCGCCGACTGAGCGCGCCTTCGGGGTCTCCTCCTGCTTCCTGCTCCGGCTCCCGCTCCCTTCCCTTCCCTTCCCGCTCTCCCGCTTCTCCCACTTCGCCGCCGCCGCCGCCGCCCGGCGCTGTGGCCGTCGCCCACGTGCGCACGCCGCGCGCCCCGCGAACCAGCTCGCGCGCTTCCACGAACGCCGCTTTCTTGCGACGCTTCCTCGCCCGATTGTCACCTTATTCGCCGCCGACGCGACGCGAGCTGCCTCTGTTGCGGAGTCGCGTTGCCATCCGTCGGCGAAATGTATGATTTATGTGTAGTTGATCGCTCGTCAAGTGTACTGGTCGGAATTCCTTCACCACTACTCTGTCAAAAAGAACGTCTTCTCCCTCTTTTTACTCTCCTCCTTCTCCTTCTTCTCCTCCTCCTCCTTCTCCTCCTCCTCCTCCTCTTCCTCCTC